GTAAGGTCCACTTAAAACCATTTTCACAGTGCCAGGGCACATGTAGGATCATACAATGCAATTTATATTTGTTGGAACTTCTTGCACAGCCTCACAGAGAAATACAAGCATACAGTCTGATATGCATGCTGCACATTGCTTGGAAACAGGAAGGAAGCCACAGCAGTAACAGCAGTTATTCTCTACCTTAATCAATACACCAGAGTATCTCTACCATAGATATATAACAGAATTCATAAACACTGCCATCTAGTGACTGAAATTGTAGACTGCAGGAGTTGTTGCTATAAACACAGTAATGTGTATTCTAACAATATTAACTATCTCAACTATATGGGTTTTTTTTTTATTTACTGTAGCTACATCACAAACATTAACAAATCTATACAGTATAGGATCAACTTGGTGAAAATATGACATTATATTATATAACAGTACAATAACTAGAGTAAGGATACAGCATTTGCTTATACAACATTTATGTTTTATATCTTGAAAACAACTTGTTATTTCATTTCAAATATCTTTTTTTAGCTGAGAGGATTTTGGGATCATTTCCCAGATACTTGCATCATTTATCTTAACAAAACCAAAAAAAGTATAACGGTAGCATGCTTTCTAGTGGATGCCGTGGGAGCCGAAGTAAACTATCAATTCTAATTATAAATGTGTCTTACCTGTCAGCCATTCTTAGGATCCAGATATTCCTGCCAGGCAGCACAGCCAGTTCTCTGATCTAATTTCTCTCCAGTGCAGTTCAAGCAATACAGTTTGCTGACTGATAACACTGATTATGTCAACACTGTAAACTTCTCCTCCTGTCCGTTGGCTTCCTGTGTTAGAGTGAGAGCATTGTGCAATGAGGTGTAGCCATATTGACTTACATTGCTACCCCTTACTCTACCAGTCTGATTCCTGCTGCAAAGGCACTCACATGAGGTTAACCTTAAACATTTTACATAGTACATAGTGCACAGTATTTGAGGTTGAATAAAGACATAAGTCCATCAAGTCCAACCTACTACAATTTAGTTTTCTGGCAGGGGGAGGCAAGTGTCAAGGCAATCAAGGAAGAATTAATAAGACAGTGGGTCATGTAGATTGCTTGTCAGTGTAAAGCAGTGCCTGACAAATGCAAAGCCTTCTACATGCCCGTAGCTCTGCTTTGATTCATTCGCAACACTAGCCGCAGTATAGAAAATGTAATTTATGAGGCCTGTTCTAAAATATATATGGCAGACAGAACTCTTGAGAATTGAATCAACTCTTGACAGTCAATCAAATACATACTTTACCTGAAAATAATTTTGGACAAATAAGGGTAAATTAGAAAATTACACTGCTTGCCTCAACAAGTCTTTTTAAGTGCACTCACCCTGAACTTTGCAAGAGACTTCTCTAGTCCTCCCAACACTAGCTTTATCTGCAAGTGTGTCTTTCAAGAAAACCGAAAGCTAGACCTAGATGTACCTGTTTATACCTGTAGCAGCCCCCAAACCTTACTGTCAATGCTAAATCCCATGGTGTTCCAACAGACAAAGTTGATTCTAAAAGTGACAAAGGTTGCCCAACCCCTCATGCTTTCTGCACATTCCTGTTGGCCAGTGACACAGCACATGATAGTGATGAGTCAATAGAAACGTGTGGGACAGGGATACGCAGTTCTGACACTAGGCGGCGGTGTCAGAGCTTTGACTTTTAGAATGACCTGGGATTGACCATTATAGGAGGTTTCATAGGCGGCTTCCAGGAATGTAAATGTGCTTTTTTAATTTAGGTGCCTGCACTTTATATCAGTAGCAGATTTTTTTTGATGACAGAGTCTCTTTAAATGGACTCTGTCACAGTTCTCCTTCACTATAGACATGACAAATACCATAATTTGATTTCTGGGCCGCATGAAGTAACAGTCTCAACAGCTAGCTCCGCCCAACAGTTTTCTATTGGCCGGCGGTTCTGCTGCCGTCAAAAAAAGAAAAGAAAAATTGCCCATAGGAATACAACCACCATCCACACAGGGGCAGGTGAGAGAGCACCCCTCTGAAATGATGGCAGATAGCAAAGTAGCTAATGCTTCCCTTGTTATCTGCTGTTTTTTTTTTTAGTATTCTGACACCTGCTGACATCAGAATAAAAAAAAAAACAACAACATAGGAATGAATAGCTAGATTGCTATTGGCTATTTCAATTTGCACTAGCAAGCTGGCTATTGCACCCACCCTCTGCTGCTGTCAATCAGCAGAGGAGGACCCGATGGAGAACTTCAGGTCCACCTCTGCTGATATTATACTGATAACAAGTTCAAACAGGTGCCATTGATACAGGTAATGAGTGCAGGACAGAGGAGCCTCTTAAAGAAGAAGGTACAGGTCTGTGAGAGCCAGAACTCTTGCTTGTTTGTAGGTGACCAAATACTTATTTTCCACCATAATTTGCAAATAAATTCGTTCCTAATCAGCCAATGTGATTTGTCTGGATTTTTTTTCTCATTTTGTCTCTCATAGTTGAGGTCTACCTCTGATGCCAATTACAGGCCTCTCTCATCTTTTTAAGTGGGAGAACTTGCACAATTTGTGGCGGACTAAATACTTTTTTGCCCACTGTAGCCAATAGCAATCTAGCTATTCATTCCTATGCTGCTTTTTTTTCATAGCAGGGAAAGGTTTACTCTGCTAGATAGAGCAGAGTAAACCTTTCCGGGAGAAAATGTTTCTCTCCCGGGTGTCCGGGAGCCGCTATCTTATAGCGGGAGACTACCGGAACGTCCGGGAGAGTTGAGATGTCTGCCATGGTGATGCATGACAGAATGGGCCTAAGGAAGGGTGGAATTTAAACCGTATCATCTCGGCATGCTGGGTCTGTGCAATGAGCTGTGCATGTGTGACTCACTGTACAGAAAAAAAAAATTGCTGACATCTACTTTTTATACTTCCACTTAACAGTTAAGGCAGATCTTATGAAGGAGTAGCAGTAGAAACACTGCTTCAGGAGTCACCAATGATCAGAAACAGGCATTACATAAACTAATATTGAACTCCAACATTTTGTACACAGTGGATATTTTTGCATATTATCATGTTTCTCCTGTTATAATGTTAAATCGTACCTAATTTTAGAGGAAACAGGTTCTGCTTGTTAAAAAAAAAAAAGATTCTTACTTGGCTGTCAGGCGCTAAAGAAAATTGAAGATGCTCTTAGTTCAGAAAAGTAATTTTAGCTTACTGTTGTTAAAGGGTTTGAAATTTAAGCGCTTGGCATTTTATCCTCGCTTCCAAAAAAAGGATTCTGTTAGAGTAAATAGCCCTAATTATCTTTGTGATCTTCAGGCTGTCCAGCCTGCAGCTTTGTGCCCCGGCTCTGTTTTTTTGTGAAAATATACAAAAGCAGAGTGGCATTTTAACACTTTGTTTCAATTCACTGTAGTGTAGGAAGTGTCGACACAAAAAGCGTTCAATCGAAAAGAATTCAGAAATCACTACCTATTTCTGACTTCAGCTGAGGTGATAGACAAAAATGATTTCCCTATTAAAATAAGTAAAACATATAACTCTGAGTGTTTTGTAATTGGTTCATTATTAATACTTAAAGGCAATCTGTCCCCAATAAAAAGCACGTGGACATGCAGTTGTTCACTAGTGGAATAAAGTTACTTATTTAGCTCCCAGCACTGTGCAGAATTCTGTTGTGGAGCCAAAAACCAAAACTGCAGACATGCTACAGCTGTGGTTGATGACATGCTGTAGAAGACAGTCATAGACTGGGAATGTGTTGCATGAGACTGCTGGAGATCACTGTCATTACAACACCTTTTACAAAACCATCACTTCCACTGCTGAGTCCAATAGCCACATGGCAAGCACCAAAAGATCGTACGTGGCTCTTGGGCTGAAAGTTGGGTGCCAGGGCAATCATTAGAGACTGCAAGATCTGTTTGATTCAGTTAGACAGTCCCTGTCTAGTAGACATGTAGTGAGATAAGAGGACCAGCAAGGCACAAAAAATAAAGCAGAGCCTGCATATGTAATAAACATATTTGGCCAATCCCACATATTTAATTGCAAAGAATGTATTAATAGAAATAATGATTTAAAGAAACTAGAAAATGATAACTTACATTAAATAGTGTTAAGATGGCTGTTCACTACTCAAATTTCAGATTATTCCTTTTGTCAAAGTAGCCTGTCTGAAAATTCCTTTCCAAACAGCACCTGAATCCAGTGAGAATAATAACTGGCTGTGAGGATTCCGCATCCGCACTATTTTGCATGGATGGGGGAATTGATGGATTACTCTCTTTCAGCCCACAGGGCTGAACAAGAGAAAATTGTAGTATGTATGACCAAATTTACACATAAAAGTGATCTGTGTAATGTATAAAATCTAATCAATGTGTTAAGCTGGCCATACACAGCTCAGATTTCAGTTGATTGCTGCTGAGTCGGACAGAATTTGAGCCATGGGTGGTCCTGTCGCCACCACCCAGCTTGATAAAAGTCAATAGATCAATAAGTCAGTAGCCAGGTGGAAAATTATTGGCTGAACATTGATGGCATCCTATTACATGCCATCACTGTTTGGGTATTCAGCAGCCACTGATGTTGCAGCTTCCCGAATATAATAGCTGTGAGCAGAGATTCCACCATTTACGCTGTTTATGATGGATTTTGTTTGAGTCTCCTCTAAGTTGAAAGTCTAAATCTGAATGATTACATTGTTCTGCATCCTTAAGCACTTTATTATCTTTAGTTCACTTTCTTTATTTGCCAAGAAAATGTGCCAAAAAAGAGGTAAAAATAAAAAGCTAGACTCAAATAGTCAATGTTGTCCTTTGGTACTACCCCTCCCTTTTAATAGTAGACTCAGGCCTTACCATAAAAGTGACTTGTGGCTTGTGGCAATAAAGGAATTTAAACTATGATATTTCTTCAAATGAACATGTACACAGTGTAATAAATATGCCTCTATGTACACTTACATATTCAATTACTGTTTTGTTTCAGGTCAGATATCTGTGGAAGGATTTATGCATTACCTAAGCGGAGTAGAAAATGGAGTAGTACCTCCTGAGAAACTGGATTTAAATGAAGATATGTCTCAGCCCCTTTCCCATTATTTTATTAATTCCTCACATAATACCTACCTCACAGGTGAGAGGGTTTTTGTTTTCTACAGTAAGTACAGCATTCAGTATGTCATCTTTTCATTAGTCAATTAAAGAAAAACTTGGTAGATTATAACTTGTCCGATAAATAACCTGCTTAGACAAACATGCATGTTCGCATCGGGCAAACTTACATGTTTGTTCCTATGGAGGAGGTTGGAGGGAGGACTGTGGAAGTCAGCCTGTCTCTGGGAAAACAGTAGTGAAATAAAGAGTACATTCCAGAGTAAGCTCAGAAAATAACTTAAATGGTTTGAACAGTTCTATCAGTCTAACTCTGTTAACAGGCTACTCTGTCATTCCCCAGTCACAGTCACAGTCATATCCATGACTAGGCTGTATTTCTTAGCTCAGGTGTAGCCTGCAAGGAGGTCAACCTTGCACCATCTGGCAAAGGTACCCTCATCACAAGGCTGGCCATATAGGCCGAAAAATCATTGTCAGGTAAAAGTATTTAGTTGTGTGCCATGGATATTCCTTTTTGCTAAATCACCGATCATCTGCAGTTTTTACATTACCTTGAGTTCCTAAGAATATTGAACTGTTGCAGAGCAAGAAATCTCTTAAGATCCTAGCCTCCAGACCACCTACAAACCTATGGACAAGAACGATATACATTTTTTTTATTTCTTAGAAAAATAAATGCCATTAGCAATTTGTCCTTTGAGTAATAGACCAGCAATTGAAGCTGTGACATTCATTAAAAAGTATGAATCTATTAGACTACGATCCCTTTTAATTGGGTCTTTAGAGTAATTACCATATGGATCACTTAACAGAACATGCCTCATTTTACTTAGCAGCAAGCTGACAGAATACAACAGTGTATAAGTTAATCTGTTCTTTTTCTAGTTGACATTCCGAAATGCAGTTTTTAGAATGTTTGGAGCACAGAATGTTGGGTAGAGTGCTCCCAAGTTATTTGAGAAACATGCTTTACATGCAGCCAGCAAATAAGAGACAGCTGGGATGTAATTGCGGGAAATGAATAGGTGTGAAACATGCATTTTAATATTGTCAGAAATAGATTTTGGTCTTCCACAAACGCATGAGAATCATAGTAAGATTGAGTAAGATTAAGATGAAATTATAGCTGGGTGTTTGTTGTACACGGGTCATGGCAATCCTTTATTAAAATGTGCACAGATCCATTCAGCATCTGTAATCCTGTTTGAAGAAATAGAACAGGGAAGACTTTGTTGGTGAATTGATTTTGTGACATACACAACTAGAGTCCTAGATAGTTTTTTTTTTTTTTTATTACTTTACTTATATGTTTCAATACAGATTTTTTTTCTCTATTGCATTAAAACAAAGTACTCTTTATATTAAGATTTCTAAAAGATGAGCAGAAATAATTTAAAAATGATCTGTTTGCCAAATTTGGCATAGCAATCTAATTTCATGTCCCACATCTTCTTAAAAGATCATCCATGTTCAGAGTCTTATTAGATTAGCTGGGATCTACATTTTTGCAGATTTCCTACTATATTCCTGCCCATATACCAGGGCCACCACCACCACCTTGTAGATTTTATAGGGAAGACAATTTTATTTTTACTTTAATTTCAACAAAGTGTTCAGATGTAGTTTGAAGGTTTAGTACAATTTAATGCTAGTTTTTGTTTTATCTGTTTTTTAAGTTTTTAACTGTTGTTTTAAAACTGTTATGCACACAATCTTTGTTTTAGATATATACATGTTATAAACGGCAAGGGATTCACAGGGCACTATGGTTAATCTAAGGACACAGGAGTGAATATCTCCTTTTAGACAGAATGCCTGAGCCTTCTGATAAAGGATGAGTCTGGACAATGGGTCCTACAGTTCTGGTTCTCTGTGTGCCACCTTGAGATATTCATCTCTCTAAAAGACATTTTTTTTTTCAACAGAGTAGTAAAACGATCAAATATGTTACAAATAAGCATTTATATTAAGACCTGTAAGTGTTACTGAACCGCAGCAAATAAAAATCAGGTCTTCTACCCTGCCAGACAGGATTGTACTTTGTAGCAGGACTGTGTGTATCTCAGAAATAGATGGACAGATATATGAGTCCTGTGACAGGTAAAACAGCTCCCTTGTATGCATGTCATCTGTATATTTAGCTGTTTGCTAGAGTTCCACTTAAAATTGTCTAGCTTGTGCTAGCAAATAGTATTGTTTTCCACAGGTAAAATTTACCATGCTTATAACATCCTCCAAGACAAACATGACGTTAAAATAGAGAATAATAACCTTCCTCTCTTGTTAAAATATAATCTTTATCTCCCGATCAATATATGAACAGGTGTTTTCTATTTTATTACTCATTGTTAAACAGTGTTCTATATTTTTATGTTTACAGATCCAATAAGAAATTAAAATGGAAGAAAGAATATGTCTAATCTTTTATTGTATGTGATACACATTAAAGTAGATAGTTTAAAATGTTTGCTAGATGCTTGGTCTACTTTGGTGAGGCAGTGCACATAACTTGATGTGTATTATATTACCAGACAGCTATGAATACCATCATGGAGCACTTTACAGTAGCAATGACAGACCCACCAATAAATCAAACTATGTGAGATCAGAAATAATTTTATGTACATGATGCATACTTCATACAGAGGTCTATATTTTGAATGTATGTGTTTCCGCAATATTAGGTGTCAGAAGGCAGTAAAATATTGTGTGACATACTGTATTTGACTTGTGCCAAATATGTTATGAGGACCTGTTGTTTGTCAGTGTCCTCTATCAAAAAAAATAGGCAGTATGGGCCTCACTATTTAAAGCGGACCTTTACCCTCTTTCACTACAAATCACATTAGCATTCAGCTCTGCATGCTGATATAAAATAATATTACATTCATTAGTTAAACAAACTTGTTTTTCATTTACTTAGAAAAATAGTTCATCCACTTCCTGGTCCCCTCTGGCATTATTGATGTAATGTGCCCAAGCATTGCATCTTGGGAAGTTATATCAGGAAATATCATCTGTAATCTCACGAGATCTCAGGCAAAAGCATTTTCCTCCCTTGAAATGTTGTGCATGGTCACATGTCTAGTCACATGTGCCAGAGTTCCAGGAAGTAAAGAAGATATAGTAACCTGCCCTTAGCAAAAATTGCCACTGTCAGAAGACTGGGGAAAAAATAGAAATAAGGTATGCAAAGAATACAAAGCCAGCAATTATTTAGAAGTATCTATTTGTAGATTGTCATTACTAAACATTTCTAAAGGTGCCTTTGTTGTTATTTTAAAGATCTTGGTAAAGTTCCTCTTTAAGTGTTCCCCCTATCCTGTGCTAAAACAGTGCATAAAACTCATAATATGAACCACCTATGGGGAAAACAATTAAATAATATACTTACCATTTCACCAGCTTCCTTCTGTTTGTATCCCAGGGAATGTTAAATAGTCCAGAACTTGTGAGAAGACTGTGTTGTGGCATCTTCTTGCAGGTTTTGTAGTATGTAGCATTCTCTGGCAACTACCGGTAGTTGGCAGGATGGTGACAATCACCCCTTGAACTATGGAAGCCTGGGTAAAGGAAAACATATTATCTACATTTCTTTCCATACAGGTGTTTTTTTGCACATTTTATGTGGCATTTCACCAAGGAGGAGGTAGGCCACACTAGAAAATTGAACCATGCAAGGCATTGTGTCGGGAAGGGGGCCTATACTTATGAAATAAATGTGAACCTATATTCAACTGGATCAAACTCTTCCCTACTAAAATTGATAAAATAGTGCCTGATAAAAAATAAAATAAACGACAGTTAGGGAATAAATTTAGTCAAACTGTCAATTTTGCAAACATAAACTGGTGTTATCAAGTTGTAACTCATGAGAAATTAGCTGGACCAGCACTGAGATTTTATCATGCCATCTGATATTTTGTGAATTTAATAGTTGGCATGACTACCCTTTAAATTATGTAAGGCATCACTATTTGTTATCTTTTGCAGTGTAATACTTGTTTTATATTGGTTTTTGTATTGGAAAAGTGTCTCTGTAATCCTTTTGGATAATTGATTGCAGTTCATTTAGGATTAGACAGATAACCAGAAGCTGGCTTTGCACTAGTGTATAACGGATCTGTCTGTGATTTTAGAACTGCTGTAAATAAGGACATGTAGTCTGAGATGTGTAAGTAGTTTTTTGTGCTTTTATAAGTCTCTTAATAAAGGTGACCTTTTATGGAAAGGTTTTGCTGTACTGCTGATTATCTTGCTTAATATTTAGGGCATCTGTGTTCTCTAGTTATAATAGTATGAGATGGTATTAGAAAATATTATGGTACTGGATAATATATTTTTTTACTCATGTCACTTGTGCTGTTATGTGTATGTATTATATACTTATGTGTGTATGTCTATATGTAGGTCCTGTACCAATACAAATCTATGGTTTCTATTTATGTTTATGGATTTCCTCTAAACATCTTCCAAAATGGGAAGCTTGTTTTTTTAGGCTTTTTCCATCGCTAACTAGCAACTTGTTTACATTTTCCATATCCAGGGCAAGTAGGCACTTTATTATGCATCCCCTGTATGCATCTACATATGCCACTTTAAACACTATTTAGGAGTATTTTCAAATAATTATATAATTAAACCTAGAAGGGTAAAATTACTTTGTTTCTAACAAAACATAGTCAGTATTGTCATTAATGTTTTGCATTTTCCATAATATGTTACAGCGGGGCAGCTTGCTGGGAACTCCTCAGTAGAGATGTATCGTCAAGTGCTACTGGCGGGTTGCCGCTGTGTTGAACTGGACTGCTGGAAGGGCAGAACCGCAGAGGAGGAGCCAGTCATTACTCATGGCTTCACCATGACTACTGAAATATTATTTAAGGTATAATACTTCTGAATAAGCTATGCTTTCTATGTATAGGATCCATGCTATTGACTTGCATGAGTTTGGACTCAACACCTTTAAAGAATAAATGGGTTCACAAGCAGGGATATTATGCTTCTCACAGTAACAGAACCTGAATTTGGATGATCACCTATATGCATTTCACCAAATGATTCAAAAGCAGTTTTAGAATTTTGTGAACTCTACCAGCACTGTCGGGTGACTTGTTCTTTAGGAGATGGAACTGCACCACTATGTGGCACCACACAGTGAACTAAACCCTAAACCTCAGCACTAAATTTAACCTTCATCCTAAACCTAATGCCATCTACTGTATACTGTAAAACAGTCAATAGCATTTTCTGCTGACATCTTAATGCTGAACACAAAACAATTGGCCAATTTGTGGGGATTGGGTACGGTGGTTCTCAGCATACCAGAATATACAAATGCAGTTAGTTTGGGGGTAGATTAGTGTATTTTACGAGCTATTTTAGGTTGGTATTAGCGTCAGGGATTGGGGGGGGTATAGTTTTAGGGTTAGGTTTTAGGGTTTTATTTAAGAGATAGGGGCACAAATTTAGAGGTTAGGTTAAAGGAGAACTATGAGGTGAGTGCTTTTTACTTATCCTCAATGTTCTAGCCGACCTATGACAATAACACTGTCACAGGTCGGCTCAGTAGATCGGGAAGTGAGCGAACACATACCGGCGTTCGCTCACTTCTTGATCCTGTCACGGCTCTCTGCCGTGACAGGATGGAACTGGATTCCCCCCTCCCCGCTCCGATCCTCCAGCGATGACTGGTGGAACGGACGGGGGAAGGGGCGGGTAGAGCTGGCTCTGTCTCTAGATAGGCAGAGCCAGCTGTCACTCACGCAGCTGGGCGGATCCAGACATAATTGTCGGGATCCGCTTCAGCTGCGGCGTCTCAGTATACTGAGGTATACTGAGCTTAGGGTGACGGGAGGACGCTAGTTTGTGTCCTCCCGTTACCCTAAGGAGAACTATGGGGAAAAGCCCTAACCCCATAGTTCTCCTTTTAAGTAATAGGTTTAGGGCTCAATGTTACGGTTACATATTATGTTTAGGGTGAGGGTTAAAGGTTAAGTGTTAGGGTATAGTTTAGGGTTAAGTGTTGGTTGAAGAAGCTAAATGTGAAGGCAAAGTTATAGGTGTTAAGTATTAAGGACTTAGTCTAAGGAAACGTTTGAGACTTTGTGGCATTTAGAAGAGCTTTTGGGTTTTCACTTATTCTCAGTGCTGGGAGCCCCACCACAAAATCTACTAGTGCTTAGCCCCCTAAGATTTAGCACCACTCTGATGCTCAACCATGTAACCCTTTCATTTGGTAACATCCACACATGTCTAAAAGTAACTCATCCTCAAACAGGATTAAGAGAGAAAGTGAAAAACCCCAACGATTACTCCCTTGTTGTTGTCCAGCAAGGCTTCCTGGCTAGGGTACCACACCAGTTAACTTTTTACACATATGTACCAGTGTTCCTTGCTGCTCGGGTTTCATCAGCTTAGAAAGCCCATAGGTTTCCGTTGTCTAGAATACTCTTGTTTACTACAGCTTGTATCGGAAACCATTATGTTTCTGAAGACAGGCTGCACGACCCAAGAACACGAAGTAGCTAGTTAGTGCTGCTGGCTTTGGAACTGCAGGACTGGTAAAGCATCTGGTCATCGGGGGTTCCAAGCAGACAGCAACTAGCAGGGGAAGTGGAGTTATTTAATTTCCCTAAATCATCAGAAATCTTTAGAAATATAAAGCAAGTTTTTTTATATATGCAGTTTAAGGAGCTCTAAAATCTTAATAGCTTGTAGTGCCTTGTGTCACTGAAGCTGTGGGAAGCAGAAGATCTTAATTACAATGGAACACTCAAAAAACTAATACTGCCTGGAACGAGCGAGAAGACATCAATCGCTAATATGAAACAATATATTGTGAATTTTAAACATGATTTGCTTGGTTTAAAATTCAGACATAATTGGGACTTTAAGAAGCAGCATAAAGATTCAGTGATTCGGCATGCACAGTTCTGTTTGTGACACTTATTAAACTTTATACAGGAGGAATAAGCACTGTGGAGCCATTTATTATAGATGATTGAGTGTTCCTTCTTGTACTTTATATTATGTTGGTTGATTCATACAGCATTTATCTTTGTGTTATTGTCTATTACGGTTATGTCTTCCCTAATGATGTAATTTAAGGTAGTGAGTAAACAGAAAGCTGCATTACCATATTTATAAAAGCAATATGTACATATTTTCTGTTGTTTGCCCATGCTGGTATATTATCAGGCCAGCAATGTGATTCAAGATTAAGCCCAGATTCAGATGTTTGAGGTGCAGTATGCATCTTATTGTGTGTTATGTCACACATCAACATCTGTTTCAGTAAGGCAACCTATTATTTTTGAATAGGCTGCCAATGCACCACAACGGACCTTGTAATGCATCTACAACTTTTTTTTACGGAAAAACTAAATTTTTTCATTTCAAATATATTTAATTCTGTTCAGTCAGTCCCGTGACTCATATTTATCATATTTTTGACACATTGCATAGTCAGGTGGTGTTACCATTGCTTCCTGTATAAAAGTCTCCTCCCCTTCTGTATATTGCTTAAACACCTCACAGTGGCTGAAAACATCTTAGATTGGCAGCACTATGTGATATATTAAAACCTTATTGGCACATAGCACTTTCTCAAGAGAATTTTGGAAAATGGAATTACCCCCACCAATCTGCCCCCTCTCCACCCCACTGCTGATCTTACCTTTCACTGAATGCTCTGCGCTTTGTGTTTCAAATTCCCCTTGCAAATGGCGTACACTCATTGGTCAGAACGGTCACTGGACTGCGCTGACCAAGGAGAAGTGCTTCTTAGTAACAAGTGCTTCTCATTGGTCAGCGTGATCAGGATTTAGCTGTGCATCTCATTGGTCAGGTGACCATGCTGACCATTGAGTGCTCGGCATTTGCTAGCGGAATTTGAAATACCGAACGCAGGGCTGCACTGCTTTATTTGGTGTACGGGATAGTACACCGACAGTCACTGAGGGGAAGGAGGGTTCAGTCAAAGAGCAGAGTGGGGGGGGGGGCGGTTGCTGGGGGTAATTACATTTTCCCAAATTCGCCTGGGACAGTGGAGGTATTGGAGACTACTTTGTGCTAATGAATGGTCACTGAACTCATTTTCCACTCCAAGCAGCCAATCATGTGCTAGCAATATCCTGTTTGTAAATTCCCCTTTACATGATTGAGTATTTAAAATTAAAACAGGTTCACTTAATTTACTATCATTCAGTTTGCACTGTGAATAGGCTCTACTCCCTAGTAAATCAACCCCATAGTCTTCTCTAAGTGTAAAGGGGGTTGTGGTATGATCATATAAACACAGATTCAAGGTTATTTCCAAATACACATGATGATTTTATAATTAATACATAACTGGACAAAAGGGTGTTTTTCTCATATTTGCCTCCAGAATGACATTTTATATTCTGAAGCTATGTGCTTCTATGTAAAGCTGGACATTTTGTGTGTAAATGTTTATCATGCTTGGAAGAAAATATTTTAACAGATGACTTTGAATTGTAGGAAGTAATAGAAGCTATCGCTGAGTGTGCATTTAAGACCTCACCGTACCCAATTCTCCTGTCTTTTGAAAATCATGTGGACTCGTAAGTAGTAAGATTGTTTTTAGCTTCTTTTCTAATTCAGGTTGGTTTACACCTCTTTGTTTTATCATCGATTCTATAACTCAATCATGTTTTCACATTGTACTGCTATACACAAAAGGTAAACACATAACATTTTATTGTAAAAACCGGTTCATTAAATTCAAGAATGATATATATTTTACAGCAGCAATCTTGGCAATAAAATGCATTGATTTAGTACATTATGCTATTAGCTAAGTGTGTAAAAAAAAGGTATAATAGTAAAAATGCTACTCTTTCATAGCTGCACATTCAGTTTAAATAAACAGTGCCAGGGAATGTTCCTGTAAATCACTACTTGTGTCAGCATCTAATATTTGTGTAGCTCCCATTCTAAATTTCACTTTTAAGGACCTTACTGTTTTCCTCAACAGGATCTCTTCAGGAATACACTGGGCACTTTGAGCAGCTTTCAGCAGCCTTTGATTTCACACCCATACACCTTGGGTGCCTGGCTCTCTCAGCCTCTCTAGGCCTTCCAGCCTCTATCTATCTATATCTATATATAGATATAGATAGATAGATATATATAGATAGATAGATCTATAGATAGACAGATAGAGCTTTTTTTGTTGGTATTTAAT